TGCATTTTATGTTATTACAGTTTATCAACTGAGAGACAATGGATTGAATATAGTATGTTTGATAAACTGTTTACAATGATGTAGAACATACTAATACAATTTGTAACTTACATTTGTAGCACAAATTGGCAGCGCAAACCTAATGTAAATTGGGGAAAGCTTGTGTCTCACAGAACATGCGTGGCAACTTCCCACTCAATTTGGTCCTATGACATCTAGTGGCCAACAGGATAATTGCAGTGGAATCCCTGGACATTATTAGCAGGTGTAAACGCTGATATTGCATGGGATAAAAGATGGGCCCAAAGTCTCAATAATTGAAGTGTCTTTGGAATTCATAAGATGTACATTTAAGCTATGTAAATTGTATCATCCTGTGTTCCATTCCTAATGCTTATGCTTATTTACTACTCCAATGGAAAACACACTATATTCAATCATTGTTTCTTAATTGATAAACTATGTTTGCAATAACATAACACATAATATAATATGTAATTTAACCTGATATAATTTAATGAAAACTCAATGATTGAAGACATGCTCTTCAATGAAAGGCATTACAGAAAGGAAGTGCTATAGATCACGCATAATTCCAATCTCCTGGGAGTGGGCTGGCTGTTTTGACACTATCACAGTGCCACATAAAAAGCTGGATGCAAATATATGTAAATGATTTTCCTGCCTATTTTGCCTTACACATATAAAATGTGGTGGGATGTAGAGACTTCTGGTCTCTAACACTCTCTGCCTGATTGTTTCCATATCACAAAGACATTACACTAAGAGGATTCCCAGGGAATCTCACAAGAATGCAGACTTTAACAATCTCTTCCTCCGTCTCCACCCCAGCATTCATGTGATGGCAAAACTCCAAGGGAAGGTTCATCTGTTATGGGTGCTCCTCCATAGGGGTCTCCACTGAAGGGCAGGGGGAAGTCTTACTGCTGTGGAACCAGGAGAGATGAACCAGGAACGATTTGCCAAACCTTAACACACTCAAATTATTTTTCAAACATTTTGGGTTTGGCAAAATGCATCTTGCTAAGCCCCCTTTCCCGACATTTTTATACCCATGTGTATTTCAAAGGAAATTTAATATGTATGTTTCTGATTCACTCAGGCATAACTCAGCACAACTGTTCAGTGAGAATCACTCTGTGTCCAAGAATCTTCCCAAACCCCTTATTTCATAAGCCCCTTTAAATGATTTCCCTTCTAACCAGGAAGTGTGTTGTGCCCAGAACAAATTGAACTCAAGCCCCCAAAAGATGCAAGCTTGGGTCAAAATTCAGAGTGTTTGAATGCTGAGGAAGGTCAGAAGTTGCAAACAACCCCTCATGTCGCTGAGAACGTCCAGCACTGAGAAGAGCAGAGAGATGCTGTGACTGTACTGAGTGACAATTTATACTCTTTGAAACTGAAAGTCGGCTGCCTCAGTGGAATGCTGGCCTAGCCAAGCATCAGCCAGGCCTGGTGGCCAGGGATGTGTGCAGTCGCACTGCCCTCTGAGTGCTACCACCTTCCTCAGCTGCTAACATCTGGGTCCACCACAGGACAGTAGGTTCCCTTCCTAGCTCCATGGGGGCTTCTCCCCCCTAGGTAGGACCTCAGCATCCAATGTAGCGGGTTAATCAAGGAACTAGCTTCATCTATTTTATACTGGGGTTAGTTTTGCCTTTGTCTTAAAATTTACTACATGCTAAAAACACAGCACACCTTTGGTCAGGGATGTAGCTCAGTGGCACAAGCGCCTGTCTGGCAAGCTCAAGGTCCTGAGTTTGATTCCCAGTACCAAAAAACAAAACAAACAACAACAACAACAAAAAAGCAATCTACAGCACTTGGTTAAAGTCAAAATAGTAGGATAATGGTGAGACCTCTTTCAGCATGCTGCTCTTTATATAAAATGACATAATCTCCCACTCAGTTTTGTTTTTTCTTGTCACAGTGATGTGACAGGGTCTGTTCAGGATGAAGTTCATCTATAAAGAACAGAAACCCTCAAAAGGAGGTTTTCATAAGACAGGAACCTACCTCTGCTTGTATGAAAAAAGTCCAAGGAAGAAAGTCTAGAGCTGAAAAATTTGGTTCCAGACTCATTAAAGACATAGGCTCTTCTTGCGTGTCTGCTCCAGCTTCCTAACCATGTACCTGTTATTTCAGAATTGCTTCCCAAGATAGCTATTGGAGCTCTAGGCCTCTGTTTGTGTCCAGGCAGCTGGAAGGAAAAGAATCCTCTCCGCTGACAACCCCACAAAAGCTCAAGTCAAGACTTTAGCCTATAATTCTTTCATCATCCGTGTCTATAACAGAAGCTGGTGTAAATGTTTTACTAGGCTGGGGATTTAGCTCAGCAGCACAGCACTTGCCTGGCAAGCGCAAGGTTGTAAGTTTGATTCCCGGTACTGGAGAAAAAACAAAAAAAAAAAAAACCAAATAAATGTTTTACTAAAGTTTTCAATAATATGGGATTCCATAAGCAAAAAAAGAACAAAAATAGGGAGTCAACTGGCTATCAACCTGGTCCACCATGTTTTTTACTGGGCTTGTCTCAACTCCTTCACCCTGGATGGTAGACACCAGGGAAAGTTCCAGAAGCGATGACCTGTAAGGCTCTGCGTGTGTGAGGTCAACTCAAGGCCAGGCTCATAGATATTGTGATGTAGTCTCTGTTTCTATATAATTAGTTCTGTTTGCTTCTGCCTGGTGAACAAGTATGACTTACCTCAGATTAACTTGTGTGTGGAAGCTCTGCCTGTCAGGACCCAGCAAGGCCAGCAGGGCTGAAGAGAAAGTGGATGAAAGAAATAGCAGCTAGCCATTTTCTCTCTTGATCATGTCAGTCAGCTCATCTTCCTTCTGCCTGGGCAGCTCCTGCCTCTGCAACCACCACTGAGTGCTATAGTTTGAATTTGAAGTGTCCCCCATAAGCCCATGTGTTACAATATGGCATTATTGGGAACCTTTAGGAGGAGGAACCTTTAGGAGGAGGAACCTTTAGGAGGAGGAACCTTTAGGAGGTGGGGCCCAAAAGGGAGGAAGTAAGAGGAAGTGAGGTCACTGGGGATGCGTCCTTAAAGTGAGATTGGTACCCTAGCCCCTCCTCTTTCCCGCTTTGTTTCCTGGCTGCCATGAGGTAAACAGGCCTCCTCTGCCCTATACTCCCACCATGACTTCCTGTGCCACCACAGGCCCAAAGCAACAAGGCTGAGACCATGGTCTGAAAGGTCTGAAACCATAAGCTGAAACAGAACTGTCCTCCTAAATTGACTGTTTTAGGTATTTTGTTACAGTAACACCTGATGAATATACTGATGAAAACTCAGGTCAACAGATTCTCGCAAGTCCCCTGAGTGTAGAATAGTGATTCAGCAGAGGGGCTTGTTGGGTTTTCATTTATAGTTGAGTTTGAAAGGTAAGTTGTTGCTCGTTCAAGTATGGGCAACATGAGACAATTCCTACGAGATGAAAAAACTACTTCATTGATGCCAGTGAAGAGGGGCTCAAGATAAAGTTAACTTCCCCTCAACCCCATGGCACCTGCCACCCCCATTTTATAGCCAAGAAAACTGAGGTTAGGTCACCTGCCCTAAGTAACCAAAGGCCACCTCAAAGCTGCACCTGCTTCTCTGCATCAAAAATCCACCTTCCCCAGAGAAGCCTGGCTCTCTAGGAAAGGATTCAGACCATGCGCCTAGGTCCCAAGGCCTAATCTCAATTCCTGGTCACTGAGAAAGGTGAGTGGCCTCTCAGAGAGAGGCAGCTCTGGGATACTGCGGACCCTGAGGCCTGGACATCCCTCAGAGCAGCTCAGCAACCAGACTTTAAGTAAAATGCTGCAGGCCTACTGCTATCCTCATCGTAATTATTAATTACCTTTGCTATAGGACTCAGCCCCTCCCACTAATGCTTATGGTTGAAAAATGGAATGAGGTGGCGCTGTGGGGGAGGTTCTCTGCCTTCACTTTTATCTTAGTCTTTCATTCTTGACTATTTTTATTTATTAAGTGTTTATCAAACAAACAGGCCCTCCACATGAAATGCCTTAGGCTTAGATCCTCCGACACAACAACAAGGCAGGCAGCAGGCAGCGCAGCTCTGCAGAGCTGAACAAAAAATAAAACTTTTTTTTCACAATGAAGTCAGCAGAGGGATCTTTGACTGGGTGTGCATCCACAAGCCACAGAGAAGTGAAGGAAGCCTGCTGCTGGCTTCCAAGGGGAAAAGAAGGAACCAGCCTGCAGAAAGAAGAGGAAAATTAAAAACTGACAAGTACAGTGCGCTTTGCAGTTTATAAAGCCCTCTTTCATAGCATTATCTTGCTCGAGCCTCCCTACACACTAGGAAGGGGGAAGGACGGCATCCAACCCAAGGCCACGCAGCTAGAATGGGGGCAGGGATGTGGCCAGAGAGAGCTCACCTTCACCGCCTACCACACTCAGGCAACCCCTGCCCGGATACCCAGTGGCCCACGGTGAGCAAAAATGAGTCCTTCCTCTTCTTCCAACTCCTGTAGTCACCACCTTTGAGGCCAGTGCCTTGAACTTCTAGGAAAGACACAGCTGGGAGGGAGGTTACCACACTCTTTCATCTGTAAAGCCTTCACTATGTCCTGTGTGGCCCTTCAGGTGAATGAATAGGACAGAGACTATAACAACAACCCTCCTTCATGCCCTGCACCACCCTCCACTGCAGAGTCCGCCTTTGGTTCCTCCAGGATGGTGGTGTCTGGGACAAGCATCCACATGCCTCTGTTTACTCACCTGTAAAATGGGGAGAAGAGCATCCTGCCTTCATGCTGCCGCCAAGGAACAAGCTAGGGAGCAGAGGAGGAGCCTACTGGCCTGGACAAGCCTGGAACCAGGCTCACCCTCCAGACCTGCTCTCCAAGAGCCTCCTGCTATGACAAGGGCTGTGGCTGGGTGTTCCACACTGATCTCAGACTCCCAGGGTCACGTGGTCACCTGTGGGAGGAGCCCCCAGGTGAGCCCCAAGGGCCAGATGCCTCAGGTCATGAGAGTGTCTTAGGACTTCTTGTCCAGCAAACAGGTTCTTATCCTAAAGAAGAATTTCAAGCCCCGATCCCACATGCTTCCCACCATCCATCCAGCAATTATGTAATCAACACAATTTCCTCTATAAATTTTCAAGCTTTTTTCCTTTTTCTAAAAGACCTGGCCAAGCGACATAAGTTCAACCCATCCAGGGTCCCAGATAAACTCTTGAGCAGCAGCTGTTTCCAAACTTCGCAAGTGGCTGCTGCGTGATGTACTCCTCAGCCCCGGGTCCCCGGCCTCCTCGCAGGAGGGGCCACCACAGCCCCTGCGGGAACTCACTCTGGAGCTCAGCGTCCTGTCCGGGGTCCCGGTGTAAGGCATCAGCCCAGAAGTTTTCAAGAGAACGAGATGGGAGCCATGGGTTCAGGGGAAGAGGGAGCCCAGACAGATAAGAGCAGCTGAGGAAAGAGATGACTTCACTCTGGGACTCACCAGGGAAGTGCGCCTAGCACCGGATTCACAGTAGGTCATCCCCGACCCATGCCCCTCTGTCCCCTTCCCCAGCCCACCACCCCAGGAGAGACGGCCAGGTGAGGGCTTCCCAAAAGCTTCAGAGCTTCCCTGATGTCCAGGATATGAGTGATACTGCAGCAAGGCAGGGGGCAGGATGAACACTGGGGCCCTAAAACAGGAGGATCGTCCAGAGAATGTCATTGGGATTGCACTACAGAAAGAGACGGACTGAAGGGGCTGAGCCTACCTGAGCATTAAAGCCCTGCTTTTGTGGAGAGGTCATTGTTTCAGCCCCCCAGGGACAGCATCCAGGAGAAGCCATTCCCGCGTTTCAGATGGGGCCCGGGGCAAGTTCGTACAGTTCCAAACTGGCAAAATGCGAGGCGCTGGACATACCTCCGCCTCGCTGGGAGTGGGAGCAACACGCAGGATACGAGGTTTAACTGAAACTACTTAGCGACAAAGATCTCATGTGTGTGTTTGCCTGCTTGCTTGAATTTTTAATCGAGTTGTTATTTATGCTTTTAAAAAAGCAAAACAACCGCATCTCGGTCTCCGGGCCGGTGGGCTGTGTGCGCCGGGTAGCTGAGAGCTCCAGAGGTCGCCGTTTAGCTCCGGGCTCCTGCCCTCGGTTACTGGAGCCCCAGGGCCCCGGGCTCAAGGCGGCCTTTCGGCGGTCCTGGCTCGGGCGTCCGTCCTGCCAGCGCAGACCAAGGCCGAGGCACGTGGGCAGCG